TTCATCGGTGAGGACCATATTCACCTTCATCTTTGTTGTCATTCGGTCCGACATGACCCCATAAACTGTCCCAACATTGATTCGAAAACCCTAAACAAATACCATACTCAAAAATGAGTGTGGAACTAGATTTTAAAAACTCCACCAAACGGAGCCTTAGTATCCCTAATATTGTTCTATTGTGTGTTTTGTTTGATTTTGATGGTAATTTTTAATTTTCTAAAAATTTTATTGGAAATTAAAATTTTATATAGTATATGGTGAAAATAGTTTAGAATTTTTGAAATTTTGAATGATTGTAATTAGTAGGTGTTAGAAAAAAAAGTAATTGATTAATGAATTAATATGACAGATAAATCATTGTTATTTGATAATAGGTTTGACAAAATTAATTTAAAATGTAAACCAAACAAACACTTTTTGTACTAGTACTGATATTATTTTGTCGAAGATTATTTTAGGACTCATACCACCACAGTTCCACTGGTCATGTTAATTTATTGTTGTGTCAGCACACCTATCTTACCAGGAAGATATTATTCCTGGAAGACCACACCTATCGGCACAAAAATTCAAAATTTGAGATGAAATATTTATTAGATAATTTTTAATTTGGATCGACATAATTTTTAACGATTCGATAAATATTTATTAGATTATTTTTATGCTTCAATTGAATTTTTAAACAAAAATGATACATCTTTTTACTTTGAAAATTTTAAAAGGGCACTAATGATGTAGAAAATTTAAAAAAATGAAATAAAATTAAGGCCAAAACACTATATCACATGGGACCTGCACGCCAATTAAAGCTATTAAAATTTTTAATTTAGAGCTCCCAATCTTTTTTTCATTTTTAAATAATATGATTTATAACCAATTTGTAGTTGGTTTAATAATTTAAAATTGATGATCTAAAAGATTTTTCATATATTTTTTGTCAGATAAATTTTTCATTGATAATTCAAACTTTTTGTCAAAAAATTGAAACTAAACACACTGATTACCTGTTTATTTTTTCTATAAATAGGCATTATGCAAAGTTATTGAGGTGGATGTTTTTGGTGTCAACGGCGAAGATAATAATGGGCTAAAGTTGTTATAAATAGACATTGTTTAGTATTTTGTAATTTTTATTTTGATAGTGAAATGGAACAGTTGGTCCGAATTTGAAATTTTTATTTTGATAACGGAATGGAGTAGTTGGTCCGAATTTGTAAATTTTTATTTTGATAGTGGAATGAAGCAATCAATCTGAATTATTTTTGTGTATAAAAAAATTATTTGTGTATAATTTTGTGTTTTGCATATATATAATTTCCAATGTTTAAATTTGTTTAATAAGATGATTATAATAATTAATATTAAAAAAACAAAAATAAAAGATAAATTGCAAAATTGATTGTAAAATAACAATATATATCACTAATTTGATACAAAATGATATTTTTACACATCATTTAAATGAACTTGTCATTGATTTTTTTTTTTTTTTTAAGTTCATCAAAATTAATTGAAATATCATCTTTTACAAAATAAGGCTTTCATACATATAATTAATGAACTTTTTACAAACTGTTTTTATTTTAACAGTCAGTACAAAGTTCATTAATTTTAACTGAAAAGCAAGCCTTTCAAAATAAAAATAAACAAGTCAAGGATTAAATTAAATTCTCCGCCTTCAATAAACTAAAACAAGTCAAGGATTATTTAATGTATATTATCTTACCGGTAAGAGATGTTTTATTATATATTACCGGTAAGAGAATTTTGATTTCCAGTTCTTCTCATCTTCCCACTGTAATCAGTCCAAATCTCTTGCTCACCCATATCTCTCTCGCTCGCGCCTCTTCCCACTGAAATCAGTCCATCTTCCAAAGAAATCTCTCTTGCTCACACTTCTGCTCTCTTTCTCGCTCGCACTACTGCTCTCTTAGCTCGAGTACCCTCGCTCTTACTCTCTTTTCTTCCTTTCCTCAATTTCTTATTATGTGTAGTGGTATCTGTTGTGTATGAGTGAAATGTTTCTATGCGGTGTTTGAGGATGGGACCCACATTGTAGTTATGGATAGTCAACTGATTTTTTTTTCTCTCAATTATTTTATTTATTTATTTATTATGATATATCAATTATTATAAACCAATTTTGTTTTAAGTGTATAAAACTATAACCTAAGGCTAATCATTCTTTTCATTAGAATTATTATTATTATCTCTATTAAAATCTGATTTTGTTGGTTGTTTAAGTACATGCTTGATGGTAGTAAATGCTTGCATGTTATCTGTTTGATTTATTGCTTCAAAGAACTAATTTTTTTATGTAGAAAATAAATAGATAAATAAATTTTGATTCAGACAAAAAAGTTGACAAGAATTGGAGGTAATACAAATAAGTTTATAAACATATAAAACAATAATTTGGGCCAACATAATTTTTAGGGATAAAAAATAAATACGAATTGCCCCCTATGGTTTAGGAAATTACAAATATTTCTGTGTCAGAAATTTTCATTTAACAGAATTAATTGAAAAAAGTAAAATTTCTAACTGTTCATCTATACAATAATAAAATTATCTAAATTATTAATTGAAATAAAATTTTAATATTGTTAAAAACTGTTAATTAGCTTGATAATTTATTAATAAGAGAACTATCTTTTATGAAATTAAAAATCTTAAAAGATATAATATAATTTTTAGAATTATATGAGATAATTTATAATTTAAGTAAAACACAGTTGTGCTTATAATTTATCCTATTTGTTTTGAAATAATAAAATGTGAGGGAGTAGAACGTGTAGGGCAGTTGAGATTTAATAATTTTTTTTTAAATATATAATTTACAGGTGAGAAAAGCTTTAAGAGCTTCACTTAACAGGTTCTGTTGCAAGATTTTACTTCGATTTCCTATTTCTTTTCTTGACTGACTGAAAAATACCCAATTGTGTCTTTACACAAATATGGTGAGGTTCAAGAAAAACCCATATATTACATCAAATTGTATATAGTTCTCTTTAATCTGCATGGCCTATTACGCAATTTGATGAAGTTACACAAAAACCCATTAAAAATTCACAGCAAGAACCTGAGACACAACCTTTAAAGTCTTCAAAAAGTTTCAAAACAACAAATCCACAGAATAACAGAACCACAATAACTGATGCCATTAACAAAACTCAGAGAAAAATGCACAAAACCCAATACCATAAAAACTAAAATTGAATCAAATAATTCAAAGAAAATGCAAAGAACTCGCCAAATGTCCACAATTCAAAGTGGTGGGAACAGGGAATGAATACCTTGGAAGAAGGCTCAAAGATAGACCCAAAAATTCCAAAAGATGATGAAGCAGGGGACTCCTTGGAACTGAAAAGATCAGAAGTGAATGAGGAAGATGAAGGAGAACCCATTTGCTTATTCGCGTCCATATTTCTCTATCTTCATCTCTCTCTCTCTCTCTCTCTCTCTCTAAAACTCTCTTTGTATACCCACAAATGAGAGTAATGGAAGAGAGAGAGTCAAATATGTAGAACAACCACCATCAAAGAACACCCAGAAGGAACGAAACAGTCGACAAATTTTGCTAAGAAACAAACAGAAAGTGCAGACGAAAACAAATGAAAAAGAAACGGAGAGAGATATCGCTAATGTGTTTGTGTTTTTGTGTGTGGGAGAGAGACGGAAATCAAAACCGTTTCTCACCAATTGAGTATTGGGTAGTTGATTAAGGAAGAAAATGGAAAACGTGGGATCTATTTTTTTTTTTTCAAATTACTAGGGTTTCGAAAACAGTGAGCAATGTCTCTGCCTCCAAGTCGTAATGTACATAGATCGAGCTCTCTATCTGAAAGGTTAAGCTCCTCAGATTTCTGAATCAGAGAGACAAAGACGAAGAGGCTGCAATCTCAAGCAATGTACAGTGTATCGATTGATGGCCAAGACCACGAAGCATCGCGTCCGAGGAAGATTCCACCATCGTCGTCCCTGTTATGGGCCCGAAACCTTCGCCATTACATCGGATCCGGTTCTGGTCTCGGTTCTAAAGCATTAATGGGTCTGTATTTTATCTAATTCCTTGACAATTATGTGTTTTGGTTGATCAATTGCGAAACTCAAAAAACCAATTGGCAGTTATGACATGATTGAATTTGAATAGACTATGTAATTTCACAAATTTGGCTATCTTAACAGTGTTTAAATTTGTGTCTTTTATCTGAATTTAGTTGTCTATACAAAAACAATTTTGCTGTTGTTGTTGTTGTGATTTTGTCAGTATAATCAATGCCGTGGTGGAATTGGAACCAGCTTAAGGTGGTTTCCAACTCAAAATTCAAGGCTCGGATTCCTCGCTGCCAGTCTTTTACACTGTTTGGATTTTTATGGGAGAAAAGAAAAGAAAAAATTGTGATTTCTCTCCCTCTTGTTTGGTTAAGTTGGAAAGACTCCAAATTGTTTGGATAGACTATATAAAAGAAAAGAAAAGAAAATCTTATAGTTTATATTACCAAAATAACCGTTTATGTTTTTATTTCTTTTGTTGGTAGATGGACAATTAATTAGTAATGTTCTTATTTATTTTCTCTCCCAATCTCTCCAATTTTGGAGAGATTCAAAAAGTGAGTTATGAGAGAAATCAATAGTTCCATTTCTCCTCATTTATCTCCTGTTTAGTAATCCAAACAAGTGATTAGGACCCAGAGAATTTGATTTCATTTCTTTTCTCTCCAAATCACTCAATCCAAACTAGGTGTTAATGATTTGGGGAGGTTGAGGCTTAAAATTCTGTTCCGAAGTTTGTGGGTCATCCACGATAGGGGGGTTATTCATGTGGGTATGGATTATACATTTTTAGACCCCTCTGGGGTACTGGGGGTCACCCCCAGTGGGGGTCTGAAACATTACACCTCTATATATATACACAAATAGTACTTCACTTCTCTCTCTACAAACACCTTTCACTTCTGCACTTGAAAGAGCTCTCCCAACTTCATCACCATAATCCGGCTTGGTAATGCCCCTCTTACTCCACATTTACACACAACTTTTTGAAGATTTTCATCAACTTTTGTTTGCGATGAATGAATCAAAGTTTTCATCTCTCTTATGTTGCATTTTTAGTTCTTGATTTCTGTATCTGTTGTTATTGGCGGCTTGTATATGGCATTTTGTGCATGAATTACATGGCAGATGTAAACATGGCCATGATTACCACGTGCATGTTTCTCTAGTAGTATAACTGTATACATTGTGCTTTGATTTATAGAACTTGAGACAGAGAATATTGCTTAATATTTTCAAAGAGAAGCAGCAAAAGAGTGCTGAAGCTGGCACAATTCCAAGCTTCTATAAGAAGGTAAGCATTGTTATTGTTGCTTAGGTGTTTGAGTTAATATAGGCCAGGTGATTTTGTCACTTTCTTTCTTGCTCTTTTTGCAGACAAAATTTGTCCATTTGTTTTGGTATCTACTTGGATAGAGCTTGAGTGCAAATGCTGAAGGGAGAAGGTTCCTTATTTTCATATAGTTTTGTTCGTTTCGTTAATATGATAATGTTTTTTACCATTTTCATTTTTTTTTTTTCATATTTTGTACTTACTTTAGCCTCTTTTTTTTGTTTGTTTTCTGTTTCCCCTTTGTTCAGAAACCAGAAGAAGGCTCCATCAGTCACAGGGTCTAGAGGGTGGCTAAATATCGTTTTCTAAAGGTATCACTTACACTTTTCCTCGTTTGTTGACTGTTGTTAGTCATCATCACTTAATCAATTCATCTTTGGCAGATTGAAACAAGCATATATCTCTGTCTTTTGGTGTGATATTGGAACTCCATATTGCCATTTTTGTTTTTTTTTTTAGATTGAATCTTACAAAGTTTATTGGGTTGTGCAAGATTTCAATATGATTTCATTTGTAGTGACTAATTATTTGGTTTAGTATTAGGATGTGGATTGGCAATAATTCATCATTTCGTACATGCAGAAGCAATCTGATCTTTTACTAAATGCTGATGATCTGGATGCCATGTGGGTTTGCTTCAAAGAAAATTGTGTGATTGATGATGCCACTGGTGCTGAAAAGGTCTGTACACCTTATCGTTTTTATATAATTTTTCTTTCATGTTGCTAAGAATCTAATATATATGTTCAACTTCTTTGCAAAATGTCTACACTAGCAGTGGTAGTTGACTTATTTTCTTCTTTAGATTCTTCTGGATTTCTGACATGTCCTGATAATTTTAAGTACAATACTTTGTTGTGCAAACATTTTACCAATTCTCCGTATAGTACAATACTTTGTTTTCTTTCTCTCTCATGCCAGTTTTTGTATCTTGATTTTTCATTGTTTTTCTCTTTCTTCTGTCCATTTATTTTCTATTCAAACCTGACCGAAAGAAATGTTGTCTTTCTTTCACATTATTGAATTAGCAGACATTCACTGAGTGTGGATTAGACTGCTATAGCCACATCTGGTGCATTTGTTTTCTTAGATTTCTTGCTAACTGCTTGTTTAAGCTTACTAATTTTGAAGTTAATAATTTGGCATGTTTGATCTAATGTACAGATATTTGATGTTGTGGTACAACTCTTCTTCTTCTTTTATTATTATTATTATTATTTTTAACAATTCTGATTATATCCCTCGTACAGTTACAGCCTTATAACTACTCTTTTGTTTGTTTGTCTGTTTTTTTTTTTTCTCTAATGATGCTAAAACACGTCTTGTTTCTCATATTGTTAGATGAATTATGAGGACTTTTGCCACATTGCCTCTGTGTGTACAGAACAAATAGGCCCTAAATGTCGACGCTTTTTCAGTCCGTCAAACTTCATGAAGTTCGAGAAAGATGAGTCAGGAAGAATTGCCATCCTGCCATTTTACCTTTATGTCATGCATACGGTGGGTCTTGGTTTTCTATGCATAACAATGTCTTGTTTTCTATATGTGTCTGACATGTGTAATTAGATATTCACCTATAAAGTGTATCAAGTAATTTGAGTTAATAAGGCTCGTTGATACCAAGGTGCCCAATTATTGCAAAAAATTATTATAGTAACTTTTTCTTTGATAAGTAACAACAGTAAAATGACTAACACAAGTATATAGGAAAATAGAAACTTAACCACCACAACCACCAATAACATAAGCTTCATATGCAAAAGAAAGGATTCAGAACAATAGATAAACAAACAGCGACTGATGTGAACTTCAACATAAAGGCAACAAGCAGCATAGCATACGGACTTTATCGTTTTACATGTAGTTGGTGACATTAATAACTGTCATTAAGCCACTTTGTTCTAAATTGATTCCCAATGGTGCGTGTTTTGCTCTGAAACCTGATTGATTTTAGGATTTGATTGTGTGTTTATTCGAGGAAGAAAAATTAAAAATGAATAAGAGAGCATGATCCTTCTTGTAACAAAATATCTCTGATAAATTACAACATTAATAATGCAACTCCACAGTTCTTTTATCACTGTGGTTTGATCACGTGATTGTGCTATTACAGTGAATGCGTAAACATGAGACAAGTTTCATCTCTCTCTGGCTTGTGTTAGTGTTAGTCTCTTTGTGGATCTCTCTCTCTCTCTCTCTCTCTCATGTAATACTACTTTCGTATTTCACAAGCAGAGGTGTTACCTGATGCAATCTTCCTACAGAAAATCTCTCTAATTTCTTGCTTGTGGTTACTTGAGTTAGTTCTGCAAGTCCCAAATTACAAGACACATGAACCAAACTACTAAGTTTGGAAACCTTGTTGAAGGATTTTAGACTAGGGAGCTAGTTACCCCTGAATTTGTTTTTGTAACCTCAATGCATATGTACAAGTTTTTTTACCAAGGTCGGCTGACTTTTAAACGAATTTCCCCACTTTTATACATATTTATCAATACAGGTTGTTTATTCGAGTTGTGGTTTGGTTACATGACTTCAAATACCTTACTGTAACTTTAAAAAAAAAAAAATTGGGAATAAGTTGAAAACTACTTTGAGATTGGGAAATATGATTTAAAATCACATGCACTTGGTAAAAAAAACTCGCATATATAGAACTATGAGCTTTGAAACAGAGATGTACACCAGAAATGGATTGAAGGAGGGAACTATGAGCTTTGTATTGAGGCCGTAAGAGATTGGGACATGGTGAAACCATCTGACCCTCTACGGATCACTCTGGCTGATCTATTGGCTTGCAAATAGGGTGGAACTGTTGCCAGCATGCTTGTAGATGTGCGCGGTTTCTGGGCCCATGACAATAGAGAGAATCTTCTCCAAGAAGAGGGAGAACCGGAAGAAGAATGATAGACGCACCGAATTCACCGTCAGGCATGTGTTTGCTGTATCACGAGAGTTTGCAGTGTCATATAGGTTATAATTTTGTGAAATAATGGCACTAGTGGTAGTGTTAGATTGGAATCAGGGGCCACAAAAAATTGAAGGAATACTTTTGAAATCATGTTTTATGTCAATCTAGGAACCCTGTACTGCATGATTTTTTTAACAGGTATATGGAAGGCAGAGCAAAGGTTGTCATGTTGTGGGTCAGATTTCAGCTTTTCAACATATTGATGTTCATGGTTAACTTAGTCCATCTCTGTTTGGCTGTAGGAGTAGACAACCCCCTTTGGTGCAAACCTATAGCAGTGATAAGAACAACTCAACTGCCGTGCCTGTAAGAATAATTTTGTATGAAAAGAAGTAAAGAGTAAGAACAAAAAAATTATCACATTTTCATGTTGAAAGATGAATAAGTCCATTTGTTTAGTTCTACATTCCTCGCACTTATTACATATCCTGACTTAGATATATACTTGGATCTATATTAATTAGAATAATAATTTCATTTTCTTCAACTCTATTCTTCTCATCACCTATTTCTATGTCCAAATAGCAATTAAAATGAAAATATGCCCGACTATTAAGGCTATTCTCTTTCATCTAATTTTGTATGATTGTATAATATTAATCTCCCTAATAATCCGCAATAACATATGATCACTACAAGTTTGAGGTGTATAATATATCATTTTCCATAAGTATTGAGAGAACTCAATTTTTTGGCAGTAAAAATAGCCAGTTAAATAGAACTGAAAGAAATTTAACAGTCACAAAATCCATTAGCCAGTATAGATATCACATTTGTATTTGTATTTTTATTTTTATTGCCACTGTTGTGAGTAAAGAAAAGTTCACACTGATGTACTATTAAAATTGATCCAAGTATTTCTTATTAATCTTTTTCTTTTCTTTTTGTTTTTTTCCCTTTTCAAACAAAAGGAGTTTAAGGCTCTTAGTTCTATTTTTTTTTTTTTTTTTGATCGACAAATGTTAGTTGTTAGTTTAGCACCTATGATAGAAAATCTCTCCACCCTTGGCAAAACACCTAAGTGCTTGCACACCCTTAATTCAACCCCCTAAGGGAAATTGAACCCATGACCTCCTTGGGATTATGCCCGAAGGAAGGCATGGTGGCCAACTAGGCTAGGCCTAATTGGTTGTTTACTGTGGATCTTTGTCTTTTCTCTACTTGGAAATTTGTGGTTGCTGAAATGATGAATTTAAAGTTCTAAATTTCTGCATCAATGCTATACTTGCAAGAGTGAATACAAACAGCTATTGTTGTTGTTGGCCTGCTTCTTTCAGACTGAACAAAATTGGTAGAAATAATTCTTGGTGATTTGAAGGAAATTTTCCATCATCAAATTCAAGGATTAATCCATATAAAACTTATTTTACATAATATCAATTGAAATTATTTTTGTTTGAAATTGGATTTGGTAGAAGCAGAGGACCGAAGTATTTACATGAGCTTGTTTTAAACCTAATTATGTATGAAGTAAGAAGCATGAAGTATCAAAATGCATTTTGTTTCTATGTGCTTGAATAGAAGTTGACTTTGGATTCTTACCTATTATCTATGTCAGGAAAGTGAGGAAGAAGTCACCGACATTGAACAAGCTGAAAACTGGTTTTCATTGACGTCTGCCCAACGCATTTGTGGTGGGTGCATTGAATTTCTCCATCTGAAGTTCATTTCGAGAGTGTTAAGAAATATAATTGTAGATTTATAAGGGGAAAATAGTTCTGTATTCCTCCTTGAATGTTTAGGTGTAGAATGATATTAATTCAATTCTTGTCATGTACAAGGGGCTGTATTTCGTTATGCATTTATCTTGTACTGTTAATCTCAAAAAAGTAGTTCTGGTTGCATTACAGAGCTTGTGACTACTGTTATTGTTATTGTTGTAGCTTATAGCAATCAGTTTAGTCCTGCAGACATGTTTCTTGCACTCGATAAAGATATGAATGGAACATTGAGCAAGCAGGAACTTCGAGAATATGTTGATGGGACTCTGACAGATATTTTTATTGAGAGGGGTAGGAGTTTCTGCCGTGCATCTTGTATTCTTTCAATTGCTTGAAAATATGGCCTTTTCAACCCTTATATAATGAGTGTGGTTGGTCACACTCCGTTGCTTTGCTGCCTATTGAAATTATTTGCATTTGCCTGTTTTAGAAAATGATTTGCTTGTTCAAAGCGCATTTCTTTTGTTAATGATGGAGGGTGTCAGTTACAGAATTTTCTAAGCTTATTTTTCATTATAATGCAGTATTTTGTCCATACCCAAAAATGCCCTTCACCAGTTCACCAGCTGTGGTTTAACTTGGAACGTTCCTTACCTGTTACCATTATTGTATTATTTTTTGATTAAATTGTTTATGTTGCATTGTGTTTTCTTAAGCTTTTGTTCATTGTTTGCTTTGGTTTGCTAACAGCATTTGATGAGCATGTCCGTCATGGCAAAACTGGAGGAGGTAATGCTCGGGAGATGGATTTTGAAAGCTGTCTAGACTTTGTTCTGGCCCTAGAAAACAAAGACACTCCAGAGGGTTTAACTTATTTGTTTCAGTGTCTTGATCTCCATGGAAGAGGATACCTCACAACAGCTAATATTCACACACTTTTCAGGTGAACACTCTGCATTTTATTATTTTGACTTTAATCATAGGGGGATAACTTATTTTTCTCCAATTATTCTTCCACGGGATGCGGAAATTAAAAAAAAAAAAGATTTGAATTTATTTAATTTAGTTGAGCATATAGAGTGAAAAATGATTCATGTAGCTGGTCCATGCTTAATTTGGTTGCTGAGAAGGAATACGGGAATTTTGGAATTCTCTTTTCCTTCTCAGCAACCAAACAGAGTGAAGCCTAATATTGGAAGAAAAGAAGGGGGGGCATCCACAAGCAGAGGTGTTACCTGATGCAATCTTCCTACAGAAAATCTTTGTAATTTCTTGCTTGTGGTTACTTGAGTTAGTTCTGCAAGTCCCAAATTACAAGACACATGAACCAAACTACTAAGTTTGGAAACCTTGTTGAAGGCTTTTAGACTAGGGAGCTAGTTACCCCTGAATTTGTTTTTGTAACCTCAATGCATATGTACAAGTTTTTTTACCAAAGTCGGCTGACTTTTAAACGAATTTTTAAACATATTTATCAATACAGGTTGTTTATTCGAGTTGTGGTTTGGTTACATGACTTCAAATACCTTACTGTAACTTAAAAAAAAAAAAAATTGGGAAATAAGTTGAAAACTACTTTGAGATTGGGAAATATCATTTAAAATCACATGCACTTGGTAAAAAAAACTCGCATATATAGAACTATGAGCTTTGAAACAGAGATGTACACCAGAAATGGAACAGAGCTAACATAATTTTCTTCCCTGTGGGTTTGAAACAGAGATGTACACCAGAAATGGATTGAAGGAGGGAACTATGAGCTTTGTATTGAGGACGTAAGAGATTGGGACATGGTGAAACCATCTGACCCTCTACGGATCACTCTGGCTGTGATCACTGCTGCTCTGCGATGGTCAATGTGATTCAAGCATATCGGACACGATTTGCCTCGAATTGCTGGTTCGATTCGCTTCGATAGAAATCTTTGAGGACTGGTTGTAGATGTATGCGTATGTAGCGGCGATCTTCGTGAAGACGAAGACGAAGACAAAGACTCCATTGATTGACACTATGTTTTGGATTGAGTGATTTGGAAATGAAAAATGAAACGAAACGAAGAGATACGTATTTTTTTTAATTGTTTGGGTAATTTAAGTGGGGACGAAAGAGGGAAAAGGGGAGAAGTTTTATTTTTCTTATAATCTTTATTTTTAACCTTTATAAAGGTTGTCTGAGAAAAGAAATTAATAAATTTTTATATTTTTATAAAAATAAAAAAAATAAAATGATCCAGTGTGTTTGGTTTGAATTTTTTGGATTAAATTTTTTTAAAATTAATTTTTTTGGTTTTCGTATTTTTTTGTTTTTAGTAAATATTTTTAAAATTTTAAACATTTTTTTTACTTTTTTAGATGTACCTTACTTAGATGTATCTAAAAAATAAAAATTTTGTGTAAAAATATTTTAAAAATTAATAAATACATAAAAATACAAAAAATGTACTGAATTCTTGTATTTTTTTTTTGTATTTTTGGTATTTAGTGAATTTTTAAAAGATTTTTTGTACAATTTTTTTATTTTTTAGGTGTATTTATGTTAGGTGTGTCTAAAAAGTAAAAAAATTGCTTAAAATATTAAAAAAATTCAGTAAAAACAAAAAAAAATATGAAAAATAAGAAAATAGAATTTTCTAAAAAATGTCTTTTGAAAAGTGAAAACAAGCAATGTGACACTCAAGTTCTTAAGGTTTTTTTATATTTAGTAAAAGATTATTTTGATGATATAACATAAAAAAATTTCTTTTCATTTTTTTTTTTATGAAATCTAACCAAATAATAATTTCTTTTCTTTTATTTCTTATTTATCTAAATAAGAGAGAGATAAATCACAATTATTTCTTTTTTTTTATTTTTTCTTATAACTTAAGTAATTATTTCTTTTCTTTTTACTCCTAAGTTCCAAATATAGGGATGTTTTGAGAAGTCAGTTAAAAGTCACTTCTCAACTTTTAGGCCAAGTTTGGGACTTCAAAAAAAGTTAAAAAGTCAAAAAGTTACTCAGAAAGTTAAAAAGTTAACACTATTCATCAAAAGTCAACAAATCAATTCAAAGTTAACACAACTCCCAATTCAAATTTTTCCATACAAATCAATTTTTACAATTTTTTATTACACATTTTTCAATAAAAAGTCAAAAAGTTAACCCAAACATCCATATTTTCAACCTCAATTTTTTAGTCCAAAAAGACAAAAAGTGCACTGTTTTAGTCTTCCCAAACTTGGCCTTAATCTACTTCCATCTCTCACAAAAAAATCAAAAAAATTAAAAAATAATTTTTAATCATCTTCTCAAAACACCTCATACTGGGAGTGTTCCAATCAAGAAGAAGAACAAGAAGATGATGATGATGATGATGATGATGGATCGGGTAAAGACGGTTGGTGGGTTAGATGCTGGATAGGGGTGTAATTTTGGCCCATGGCCCGCGGGTGACCTGAAGCCCGCCTGCTGCCCGAGGTGGGCCCGGCCTGTGAAGGCCCGTTTAGGTCTGAGCCCATGCCCAGCTCGAGGCCTTGGGTTAGGGCCTGGGCCTGGGCCATCGTTTTGAAGCCCCGCCCCATTGACCCGCTCAAGGCCTACCCAAAAGCCCGGCCCGCCCGGCCCACCTGATGCCGAAGTATTATTTTTAATGAAAAATAATAAAATTTTGGTGGAAAAAATTTTTAAAAAAATTTAAAAATTGTTTAGACCCGCCCAAAGCCCAAGCTCAAGCCCAGGGGCCCAGCCCACTAGCCCGCCCAAAGCCCAAATACCCTTGAGCCTAGGCTTGGGCTTGGACCCAGCCCGATTTTTTGACGGGAGAGCCCGCAAGGCCCGACATGGGCTCGGCCAGGCCCGAACCCGAATGGGCCGAGCCAGGCCAAAATTACACCCCTAATGCTGGATATAGATTTATAGGTCCGACCCTACCCTATTTGGACTCAAAGTCTGTGTCAATTCTCATTTTTAAATTTTTTTTTGTTTCCCAGAAATTATTTTATTGAGGGTTTGAAAATTCAATCATTTTTATCGTATTTTTGTTTCTGTTTATTTATGATTAAGTTTCTTAAAAGCGATAAAAAAAATATTTAATGAAAATGAATTTATGAGGATGAATTGCTTTTTTTGTTACTCAAAAATTACTTTTCTTAGTTCCATTTTTTAAAAAACACTTTTCAGAAAATTCTACTTTCTTATTTTCCTTATTTTTTTATTTTTACTAAGTTTTTTTAATATTTTAAGCAATTTTTTTTTTTACTTTTTAGACATATCTAACATAAATATACCTAAAAAGTAAAAAATTTGTGAAAAAAACTTTTTAAAAATTCATTAAATACCAAAAATACAAAAAAATATACGAGAATTCAGTACATTTTTTTTATATTTTTATGTATTTATTAATTTTTTAAAATATTTTTACACAAAATTTTTATTTTTTAGATACATCTAAGCAAAGTACCTCTAAAAATGTAAAAAAAAATGTTTAAAATTTAGAAAATATTTACTAAAAACAAAAAAATACGAAAACCAAAAAAGTTAATTTTAAAAAAATTTAATCCAAAAAATTCAAACCAAACACACTGAATCATTTTATTTTTTTTATTTTTATAAAAATATAAAAATTTATTAATTTCTTTTCTCGTACAACCTTTATAAAGGTTAAAAATAAAGATTATAAGAAAAATAAAACTTCTCCCCGTTTCCCTCTTTCGTCCCCTTATTTTTTTCAATTCAAAAATATATTAAAGTTGAAAACTTTTTTACAACAGAATATTTAAACTCTTTTTCAATTGAAAACACAAACATAATATTTAAACAAATTGAAAATACAAAATCTTATAAATTACTAGGGGTGCTAGCGATTTGGCAGTTTGGCGGTTCGGTTGCGGCCAAAGAAATCTCAAATCCGCCATCCGTCCGCCAAATTGGCGGATTGGAGAAAATCAATCCACAACCGTCCGCTCGTCATCACGCATCCGTCCAAAATGCGACGGATCGGTTCGGTTTAGTCCTGATCAAGCCTAACAATATGACGGAAAACATCTCAGGCAACACCAACAATCATCGAGATCCTCTAAATCTTGAGAAAACAATCGAATAAGAAGACCACTTGATCAGAAGCACCAAGAAAATTAAAAGTTCTGATTCACCTATCGCAACAACCATAGAAAATGGGGTGAACATAGAGATTTTAGAGTCGAAAGAGGGAACCCCTGCTCAAGTTCCTACTGCTATGGGATCTCCTTCCCTACCTCCCAAATCCTTCAAATAAGCTTTGAACATGAATAGAAAAAGTGATCATTTATGCGACAATAGGGTAGAAATCCTCTCATCTAATGAAGAGGATAATGAGCTCGAGAGACAAACTGAAATCCAACACTCCTGCTCAGAACACTTGGGCTTTCCCAAAGTCACCCTACCCAAAGAACTACAGGAAAAGATTAGGCAACTGTGGAGGAATGCTCTAATCATCAGGCTTCTGGGCAGGAGCATAGGCTATAAAATGCTATGTACTCGAGTAAAGAATATTTGGGGTCTGCAAGGGGATTTTAATGGCATTGACCTGGGTAACAATTACTTCCTTTTTAAATTTTCTGAATAGTCAGACTGTACTCATGTTTTCATGGGAGAACCATGGGTGATCATGGACTACTATCTCACTGTGCGACGGTGGGAACCGAATTTCAAACCATCGGAAGCCTCTGAAACCACAACCGCAGTTTGGGTTTGGTTTCCAAAGCTTCCGATTGAGTATTACCAGGAGAAACTTCTTTTCGCCATTGCCAAATCTAGTGGAAACCTCTTAAGATTGATTAGATCACGGCTATGGCAACAAGAGGGAAATTTGCAAGAATATGTATTGAAATGGATCTTAAGGCTTGTTTGGTTTGTATTTGAGAAATATGTTTTGAGATAAAAAGTACGAAAATTTGTTTGGTTTGATTTTTTTTCAAAAGATGTATTGAAAAATTATTTTGAGAAAGAGTTTTGAAAAAAGTGATTGATTTGATGTGTATGAGAGAGAGATTTGTTTGGAAAACTTGTAAACCAAACAAGTTTTGGAAAAAAAATTTGGGAAAATTTATTTGGTTTGACTACTTTTGAAAACTTATTTGTAGAAAATTTTTTCCAAAATTTTTTGAGAAACACAAACCAAACAAGGCCAGTAAACCTCTAAAACCAAAGTTTATTTTGGAGAACAGGTACTACAACATAGAATACGAATCTCTACACTTCTTTTGTTTTCTTTGTGCTAGAATTGATCACAAGAAAGAAAGAAGCCTGCAGGTTCAAAACTCCCAACGTCCAACCGGCGGCAAATAACATAGCCGTTACCGGCAAAGACGTCCTGACAATATCATGACAGAAGCTAACGGATACTTGCAAACACAGAGAGGGGAGGAAGATGCATTTGACCCATGGATACTAGTCACTAAAAGGGGTAAAAGACCAATCCAACCCAAGAGGTCCCAAGCTATACCTGGCCTAGCAATTAAAGATATTTTACAATATGGAGCACCAGCATCAAGTGCTTTAATAAGCAAAGAAATATTACTACAAAATATTGTAAATATATAACTGATGGGTGTGTACAAAAATATTACTTTAACAGCGCGGAGACCAATTCCCCATACTATACATGATGGAAAGATTTCCTTGGGGTTGGTGCTCGGTTCTTCACAGACTGCAATCTTTGTTTCAGATGGAAAACTTCAACCTGCAAATTTTTATGTATATGGAATTGGAATAGTATAAGCCCACAATTGTATCATAAAACATGTTACAAGGAAAATGGTATACAATCTCTATTACTTTCATAGTGACTGTACTTGAATTGCAGTGTTCAAAACTCGATGCATTTTTTATTAGGAGGTGGTATGTAAATCGGGTCCTAATCCGAAACCAACTATGAATGAGAATTTAGAGTCTTGCGTGCGAGTTAGGATGATTACATATAACGTCGATGGCTACAATAGGCAATTTTGAGTCCAAGTACATGTCTAAATGTCAAATTTATTAATTCTCATGTCAATCACACCAAGACACAATTAGATTTTATATTTCGAAAATACTTGTTTTATTCAAATTTATTTAATTCTCATGTCAATCACACTAAGACACAATTAGATTTTATATTTTGAAAATACTTTTTTTA